CGGGCGCCCCCCCCCCCAATTCCTGGAATAAAATGTTTTTTGGGTCTAAACACAGGAACCCCCCCCCCAATACCTGGAATAAAATGTTTTTGGGTCTAAACATACGTCAGTCTCTCTCTCTCTAGACACCATTTTGGTATAGTGGTTTAAGTGCATGGACCCTAACCCTAACCAGGTTTGATTCCCCACTCCTCCACTTGCACCTGCTGGATGACCTTGGGCAAGCCATAGTTCTGGCACAGCCGTTCTTGAAAAAAGAACAGTTTCCATTAGAGCTCTCTCAGCCCCACCTCCCTCACAGGGTGTCTGTTGTGGGGAGGGGAAGGGAGAGGAGTTCGTAAGCTGCTGTGAAACACCTTTGGGTAGTGAAGGGTGGGGGATAAATCCAATCTCTTCTCTTCTTCCTCTTCTTTCTCTCTCTCTCTGAAGAAAAAGTGTGGTTATACCTGGAATCATTGCTGGTCTTCTGAAAAGTCCCACAAGACGCCATTCCTCCCCCCCTTTGTGTCTCTCCCCCCCCCAGGAGGGGAGGAGGAGCCCTCAGCCAATGGAGGGAAGGCTTTCTTTCTCTCCTCTTGAAGAAGGAAATAGGAGAGACTGGGGAAAAGGAGCTGTGACGTTACAAACCGGAACCAGAAGCAGCACAGAGTCAGCTGTCCTCGGGCCGGATTGCAACCCTATGCAGAGGCTGAATTCAGCCCACAGGCCATATCTTTAGCACCCCTGGTCTAGCCGCTGTCCTCAGTCAGCATGGCTAGTAGCCATGGATAGACCTCTTCTCCGTGAGTCCATCTAACCCCCTTTCAAATCTGTTTATTCCTCTGGCAGCAGATTCCACATTGTAATCACTCTCTGTGTAAAAGCAGTATTTCCTTTTGTCAGTCCTGAGCCTTCTGCTGACCAGCTTCATTTAATGCCCTAGTGCTTTGGGAGAGGGAGGAGAATTTCTCTTTGTCCGCTCTCTCCACCCCGTGCATAATTGCATAAATCTCTATCATGCCCCCCCCCCCCTTTTAGTCATCTCTTTTCTAAACTAAAAGGTCCCAGACTCTTCAGCGTTTCCCAGTTTGGCAGTGTCCCTTTGGAGATACGGGGACCCGAACGGCACGCTGTATTCCAGACGAGGCTGCACCATGGAGCTATACCGGGGGGGGAGCGGGGGGCGGATTACAATATCCCCGGAGTGCTTCATTGTTTGAGTGGAGCCAGCGGGGGAGCGAGGTGGGGAGACTTGGCTTTTCGGAAGATGACCGGTTAACGCTGTTGCAGGACAGCTGGATCCCAGTCCAGGAGCACCTGAAGAGTCCAACAAGGTTTTTGGAGTGTAAACTTTGGAGAGCCTGCAGAGCTCCCTTTGCCAGGTGCAACGTGACATGAGCCTTGACTCTCAAAAGCTCATCCCCTGAAAACCTTCTTGGTCGCTACGGCGCTCTCGAGTCTAAATCTTCTACTGTGCACGAGGACGGCTGCCCTCTGAAACAGTCCACTGAAGAGCTATCATTTGCGGCACAATGAGCCCTTTGCGGCCGGGGGCTCCTCTCATGTTTGGGTGTCGCCTGAGCTGGCTCCGTAGAGGAGGGATCCCACTTCTTAAAGTCCTTTGCTGTGCATACAGTCTCAAAGAAGCACACTGGGCACGCATGGGCCTACTAACTAGGAGCACCCTCTGAAATGCGGCCGACCTGTGGATCTTGCCAGAGCCCCGATCAGAACGCCCTGTGAAGTTCTTGCTGGCAAACCGCCTCTGTTCATCCCGACACTTGTCCTCTCCAGGAAGCCAAAGAGAAGCCGGGATCTGGGAAGGCCGAGGAGCCTGCCAAGAGTCCCGGGGGTGACGGTGCCAAAGCGCAGGAGGAGGAGGAAGAAGAGAAAAAGCTGAAGCCTCCAAAGAAACAGAAGCTCGTGGAAGAGATCACGGTGGAACTAGACGTGAACGACATACCTGAGCTTCTGCCGGAAGAACTACAGGACTCCATCAAGAAGTAGGTTTGGGTGATTCTCCAGGCCGTCCTTCAGCCTGTGAGTTGAGGCGGGGGTGCTCGGAACGGCACCGGGGTGCTCTTGGTCGGCTGCTCTTCTGAGACCAGGGTGCTTTTTGCCATCCCATCTTAGGTTGCAGGACTTGACTGCCAGAGACCTTGAGAAGCAGGAGCGGGAGCAGTCAGCCAACAGCCTGGAGGCCTTCATCTTCGAGACCCAGGTAGGAGGAGGAGGCGGGGGCCAGAGGCTGGGATGGTCTTCAGGTTAAAAGATTGCGGGGGGGGGGATCCCTCTGCTGGCCCCACTTCTGCCCCTTCGGTTGGGGCTTTCCCCGCTCAAACCCAGTCTCTCAGTTTTCCATTTTAAATCCCCCCCCCCCCCCCCGTGTCATCCTTCCTTATCCTCCTC